GCAGCAGCAGCAGCAGCAGCGACTGCAGCAACAGCAACAGCAGAAGTAGCACAGCCGCAACCCTCCCTCCCCGGCGTCTGCTGCACCCAGCCTTCACCCCTCCCCATAGCATCTGCTGCCTCAGCAACACCAGCAGCACCAGCATCAACGCATGCAGCAGCAGCAGCAGCAGCAGCTGCTGCTGCTGCTGCTGTTGCATGCGCATCCAGCCCCATCCTCACCTCCTAAACTGAGGATTGAAGTGCGTTGCCCTCAGCATGCGGCGCACAGAACAAATGGCTGCAGCAGCTTTCTCTGCCTCCCCCATACATTCGTATTTGGTACCCAAGTTGGTGGGGGCCCCCCGGTGGGGGCCCCCCTCGGGGGGCCCCCCAGGGGGCCCCTCAGAGGGGCCCCCAAGAGGTACTGCTGGGCAGTCTGCAACACGCAGCAACCCCACCGTCGATGCTAGCTGGCCCCGGTGAGGCGTCGCTGCCTCTGCGTTTGCTGCTGCTGCAGCATCCAGCAGCAGCAGAGCAGAGCCGTCGGTGAGGGCTAAGAAGCGGCCGTCTCTTGAGGGGCTCAGAGAAACACCCATAGAACAAAATCCTGCATACAAAATATAAAAAAAAAAAATTATACTGGGATGAAATATATTGGGTCTCGTGCTGCTGCTGCTGCTGCTGCTGCTGCTGCTGCTGTTGCTGCTGCTGCTGCTACCTTTGCAGTGGAGAGAATGCCTGTGCCTGCTGCTGCTGCTGAGAATGGTGTTGCTCCGTCGCTACGAGAGACCGCTCTTGCTCGTGCTGCTCCCGCTTCTGCTGCTGCGGCTGCTGTTGCCGCAGCCGCTGCTGCTGCTGCTGCTGCTGCTGCTGCTGCTGCAGCGGCTAGCGCCTCGTGCAGCAACCGCCTGGAACTTCTCTCGTACCTGAGGGTCGGCTGAAGACTCCTCGCCAGATGATGCCGTGAGATTTGAGGCCTGTAGAGTCAATGTGCTCGCAGCAGCAGCTGCTGCTGCTGCTGCAGCTGCTGCTGCTGCTGCTGCAGCTGCTGCTGTCCCCGCCCGCTACAGGGGGCCCCTTGGGGCCCCCGAAGCAGCAGAAGCTCTGTTGTTCGGCTGCCATTGCAGCAGAAGGCAACAAGGAGAGAAGATCTTATATCTCTCTGCATGCAAAAGAAAAAAGGGTACAGCTACGAAACTGGGGGCCCCCGTGGGCCCCCCTGGCCCCATAGATTGAATGCCTGCGGGTTGGGGCCCCCTCAACAACTCATTATGTTTACTTTTTCTCTTATTTTTTAATATTATTATAAATAACAAGTGGTTTAGGAGCAGCTAGAGAAAACACAGGCGAAGAAGGCGCGGCGAGGCCTCCGCCTCAAGGGGGGCCCCCAGGGTACAGGGGGCCCCCGGGGGCCCCCTCCTCCTCAGGGCCCCTCTCGGGTGGTGTTCAGCGCCGACTCTTCTTTTTTTTTTTTTATGTTTACTCAGCCAGTATTTTCAAGAAAAAGAAAGAGAAAAGGAAGAAGAATAACAGCAGGCATTTAGTCAATCCACTCAGGGGTGTGTAAGGAACTTTTGTTTAGGGTTTAGGGTTTAGGGTTTAGGGTTTAGGTTTTAGGGTTTAGGGTGGCGGCTACATTGTGCTGCTGGCGCTGCTGGAGACATCTCTAGCTTGGTGTGTAGACGCAGCAGCTGTATGTACACCGCACGGGGGTGCTCTGTTGGGGTGGTTTTTCGTGTGTAATAATCATTTAAATATAATTAAATAAATAGTAAATTAATATTTTAATATATTAAAATATTAATTAATATATATTAATTAATATATATTAATATTTATATATTAACGTATTTATCCAAGAAGGAGGGGTCCAGCATCTGCTGGTCTCAGAAAGGGGATTAAAGCCCAACCAGTTGTACCCCTAAACCCTAAACCCTAAACCCTAGGCGTCTAAACCCTAAACCCTAAACCCTAAACCCTAGGCATCTAAACCCTAAACCCTAAACCCTAAACCCTAGGCCTCTAAACCCTAAACCCTAGGCTTCTAAACCCTAAACCCTAAACCCTAGGCCTCTAAACCCTAAACCCTAAATCCCCAGCTCATGCTAGGGGTTTAAGGTTTAGCCTGTACAGTCTTATGTATAAGCTAAACCCTAAACCCTAGGCCTGGGGCCTTGGCTTTAACCCGCTGCTGCTTTTACCTGAGCTAGCTAGCGAACTCAACTAGCTACCTCAGCTAGCTGCTGCTTGCAGCAGCTCACGCTGCTACTGCTGCTGCTGCTATCGCTGCTGCTGCTTCTTCTGCTGCAGCAGCAGCTGCTGAAGCCCGCGTGAGGCTCTAGGGCTGTGCTTCTGCTGCTGCTCATCTCCTATCTATAAGCCCCATACCCTGAAGCGCCCAACCACAGATGCTGCTACTGCTGCTGCTAACTCTGCTATTTCAGTTGCTGCTGCTGCTGCTGCTGCTGCTGCTGTTGCTGCTGTTGCTGCGCTGAGCAGCAGCAGGGGGGCGTGCAGTGCAAGTATGGCTCAGGAGACAGTTTAGGGACTTTTCATAAAAGCAATTCGGTAAGGAAGTTGCTTATCGCATATATATATATATATATATATATATATATATATATATATATATATATATATATATATATATATA